GGGGAATGGGGAAAAATAGGATTTCCAGAACCAATCTCATTTCAATTTTCACCTTTAGACTGCTAACCACCCCTACCTTCAGCGGAGAAGTTTAGAAAGTTAAAATAAAATGGGTTAAAATCATCCAAAATTCTCAAATGGCTATAAAAATACCTAAGAAAATAGTAAATATAAGGCACTTTCTTGAAGAAATGTTTTCCAAACGGATGTATTTAAGATAGCTTTTTAGGATTTGAAGTTCTAAAAGAATTCTGAAAAGGGTATAGCTGCTTGTTTCTAGAATAGAGCATTACAATCCCAATGCACCCCATGATACACACAGGTTTTTGCCCTTTCTTAAGATTTCTGTCAGGTTCTATTATTTATTTCTGTTTAAAAGAGCAGCTAGACTCTTTCCCCACATCTTGGCAAGGCATAAGAAAATCAAATCTGCAGCCATTGGCAGGTCTGGCCAACATTGGCATGCCTCCCCCAATCTAATTCATAGGACCTCGGCTAATGCCATGGGGTAATGTTTTAAAAAGTTAGCGGTTAACAGATAAGTAACATATTTATTTATTTAATGTGTTTTTTAAAGTAACACATTTAACTTCTAGATTAATTAGAAAATAGAAGAAAAGAAAATCAAAAGGAACTAATTTTATGCCCCTACATTTAAATGCCCATTCTTAGGCATTTTTTAGTGTGTATAAGGAGTATGCATTTAAAATAAATATTTTTATTGATTTCAGAGAGAAAGGGAGAGGGAGACAGAGACAGAAACATCAATGATGAGAGAATCATTGATCAGCTGCCTCCTGCATGCCCCCCTACTGAGGATTGAACCCGCAACCTGGGCATGTGTCCTGACTGGGAATCAAACCATGACCTCCTGGTTCATAGGTCGATGCTCAATCACTGAGCCACTCCAGCCCTGCAGGAATATGCATTTTAAAACATTTAATGTACAGTTTTAAAATGGGTTCTTGCAGTTTTATAACCTACTTTTTTCTTATTTAGAAGTTTACTGTGATTCAGCTTAAATATTTATTCTATAACATTTAAAAAACTTAATTTCAATATATGTACAGAAAAGTACACAGGTGTGTGAATGCTATGTATTATATACAGTTGTGAAATGATGTTGCACACCTGAAACTTATATAATGTAATTAACCAATGTTACCTCAATAACAAGTACACAGATAATAATTGTACAGTTCCATACAACATTATTTTTAATAGCTACATAGCATTTTATCTCGTATTTCCTTATCAATTCCATGTTATGGGTCATATAGGATTGTTTAAATTTGGCATTGTTGCCGAAACCGGTTTGGCTCAGTGGATAGAGCGTCAGCCTGCGAACTGAGAGGTCCCGGGTTCGATTCCGGTCAAGGGCATGTACCTGGGTTGCGGGCACATCCCCGGTGGGGGATGTGCAAGAGGCAGCTGATTGATGTTTCTAACTCTCTCTCTCTCCCTTCCTCTCTGTGAAAAATCAATAAAATATCTTTAAAAAAAAAATAAATTTGGCATTGTTAAAGTCAATGCTGAGATGTAGGTACTTACAGAGAAATTATGATACATTATTTCATTAAGGAAAATACCTAGAAATGTAATTTCTGGGTCAGTGCATAAGTATACATAGAATAAACCTTTTGTGTTAAATATTAATATAAGGAAAAGAGGCAAGAATACACAGGTGGTTGTTAAAACCACATGGTTGCCCAAACTTCACAGAGCGGCCTCATGTCTAGCTGGTGTGAGGGGACTTCTAGGCAGGTAATTCTGGGCACTGGACGCCTGGTATAGTCTCTCATATGCTCTACACTTCTCCACTCTTCCAGTTCACACATCTGCCTTTTCCCAAGAAGAGCAGGAAATGGCGGAAGCCCAGGTAAGACTTGTCTGTTCCTTCCTCTGTTTTACCATAGATGTGATGAGCTATGTAGGAATCTCTGACATAAAGTAGGAAATTATTTGTAAGTAAGCATTAGGATCAGGGACAATGAGCAGCAGCAGCAAGGCCCATGTAGACATGTGGATGACTTAGGGTGTCATAGATACTAATGCTGAGTTGCAAATTTCTCTTTGAGCCCCTGGCAGCCAGAGGAAAGGAAATACAACCAATAACCTGGCTCACCTTGCTTATAATAGGGAGAGCACACCAAGTCCTCAGGAAAGAAAAGGTTCTTCAATTGCCTTTCAAGATGTTTCTTTGCTGGGTCTTCCTGTGGAAGGTGGAATTGTCTTCTACCATAGCCTGGTGAAAAACGCAATCCCAGGTTCCTACAGATATTTCTTATACCATTCCTCAGTGAGTAGAGACCTAATGTCAAAATGTAATTTGGAAATGAAATATCTTGGGGAACTGCTTGTCTTTCCAATTTTTCCTAAAGTAATTTTCTCAGTTGGAATTTTGATTCTCATTTGGCTAAGAGACAAAGTCCTATAGACACCTATAGTCCACCAACTTTTCCCTTTCCCTTTAATTTATTTTTTAAACAAACAAAATAGGAACAGACTCATGGATATAGTGAACAGACTGACAGCTGTCAGAGGGGGAGGGAGATTCGAGGATGGGTGAAAAAGGTGAAGGGATTAAGCAAAAAAAAAACAAACAACCCCACAAAAAAACAAATACTCATAGACACAGACAATAGTATGGTGATTATCAGAGGTGAAGAGGAATGGGGGAGGTAGAAGGGGGTAAAGATGTGATAAATGGTGATGGAAGGAGACTTGACTTTGGGTGATGAACACACAATACAATATACAGATGATGTATTATAGAGTTGTACACTTGAAAAATAGAATTTTATTTATTTTTTTACCATTTTATTTTTTATTGATTAAGGCAGCGGTTCTCAACCTGTGGGTCGCGACCCCTTTGGGGTCAAACGACCCTTTCACAGGGGTCACCTAAGACCATCGGAAAACACATATATAATTACATATTGTTTTTGTGATTAATCACTATGCTTTAATTATGTTCAATTTGTAACAATGAAAATACATCCTGCATATCAGATATTTACATTATGATTTTAACAGTAGCAAAATTACAGTTATGAAGTAGCAATGAAAATATTTTTATGATTGGGGGTCACCACAGTGTGAGGAACTGTATTAAAGGGTCACAGCATTAGGAAGGTTGAGAACCACTGGATTAAGGTATTACGTATGTGTCTTATCTCCCCATTGCCCCCCAATCCCCCCACTCATGCCCTCACCCCCCACCCCCTGGTGTTTGTGTCCATTGG